GAGGGCCTCCGGCATGTGGTGGCGATACAGGCCACGATCAGTGCCTTCGCAGCGCTTCTGGAGGACGGCTCCGTGGTCACCTGGGGCTTCCGCAGCGAAGGCGGTGACAGCTCTGCAGTGCAGAATCGGCTGCGCGGGGTCGCGGCACTGAGTGCCACGAGGTGTGGCTTCATCGCCATCCGCAATGACGGTGCAGTCGTTGCCTGGGGAGCCTAAAAACTGTGCTTGCGCGGTTGCCGCTCGACCTCTAAACCCCGGTTTTCCCTGCTCCCCCCTAAGCTTTCAGGGCACCCTCTCCCCTTTCGGTCCCACCGGTAGGCTGTGCCCCATCTGCCCTGCAAGTGAGCCCTTCGCCCCCCGTAGACCCGAACCCTGCTGCCCTGCGCTTGACTTTTTCTTTCCGCGCTCGCAGGTTCAAGTTCGTAGGAGCGGGTAGCCGGGCGGTTGGGAGTGCGTGGGACTCGTCGTCGGACCCTCAGCCGCTTCAGTGGGAGCCTTGAGCTGTGCGCCTTTGCGCGTCTGTGGAAGCCGTTACCTGTGCAGTTTTAGGATCGAAAGCTCCAGAAGGGTTTCGTAGTCGTGCCGGCGGTCGTGACCTGTAGGAAGATGGCCCGAGCGGAGGTTGTCCAGACTGTGCTTTCGGCAGCGCCGCGGTTGCACTCCGCTTTGCAGCAGAAGTTCCCGGGCAAGGAGTTGCGCGTGGAGATCTGCTCGGCCGACGACATTCGGATGCTGTTGCAGCATGCATCGAGAATGTCGGAGAAGGAAATGCGGCGCGCCAAGTTCCGCTTCCTTCGCGACAACGGCTGTCTCTTCAATTACCGCTTAGAGCCTACTCTGGGAGTGTTCTATCGAGAACAGGATGGAGTGATCTACCTGATGTGGAACAGTTGCTACACAGAGGCGGGCCAAGTCAGCGTCGGCTTCCAGGGTGAGGACTGCGACGAATCCTTCTTCGCCCGGCTGGATCGCACGGTGACCGGAGCGCATCAGTCCAGGCGCCGCCGTGTTAGAGTCCCGACGGCTGCAGGGGAACCCTGCCGCGGCTAGATCCAATCCTGGCGACGGTACAGTTAGTCGCCGTGCTACAAGCCGATCGAGTACAGTCCGGCAAAGAAGCGCTTCCGCAAAGGAGTGATGTTCTTTTGCTGCACTTGACATGCCTAGCCCCCGCATCGCCCAGGCTCGGCCTTCCATTGCGCTCGTCTCTCAGAGGTTTTGCAAGTGTTTGAGTAGTGTTCCCGTGGTCAAGTCCGCCTTCCGCTGTGATGAGCACTCCTTGAAGTTCCCCTGGTCAGGTCCGTCCTCCTGTGTGCTGACTGGTGCTACATCGCCTGGAGCCGAGAGTTGAAGCCCGTTCTTGAGTCGTTGGGATGCAAGTGCCTGTGTCCGAGTGTGCATTTTGCATTCAGCCGAGAGTTGAAGCCCGCCTTGAGTCGTGAGGATGCAAGTGCCTGTGTCCGAGTGTGCATTTTGCATTCAAGCCTCGTTTGCCAGCATGCCGTCGTCGGCGGCTAGGGACGCAGCCATAGAGCTCGTGCTATGCGAAGTTTTTGGCGGCGGAGGAGACTTCTGGCGCCTGGGGGTGCGGGTCTTTGCAACAGTGAGCGCAGGCGCCTGCTACCGCAGGATGCTCGCCTTGGTGCATCCGGACAAAAACAACAGCAGCCCTCGCAGCACCCAGGCGACCCGGCGCCTCCTCGAACTCTGGGAGAACTTCTCCGGCATGTCGGACCTCTGGTGGGAGTCCATGATGGCGAACACGCGCTCCCTTCCCATGAACTCCCACGAGCTGAAGCTTAAGATCCTCCTGGAGAACGAGACTGAGGCCCCGGCGCCACCAACTTCGTCAGCTTCGGCATCTTCGGCGCCTCCGCCGACTGCAAAGGCCTCTGCGCCGACTTCCTCAACGCCCCCGCCGGCGTCTTCGGGCTCTGCGCCGACTTCTTCAACGTCCCCGCCGACTGGATCTTCGCCCCCGGCTGCAAAAAGGCACCTCCGACTGCAAAGGCTGCGTCGTCGGCAAAGGCATCTGCGCCCCCGCCGGGTCCGGAGCCTCAGGACGACTACATGGGGGACGAGGGCGACCCGGAGCCCGGGTGCGAGGACGGCAAGATGGCCGGATGGCTGCGCTACGAGCCGGCCAATGCGTCCGAGCTCGACAGGGCCCTGAACTCCGACGCAGTGCGGCGCTTTGCGGAGTTCAACCTCTTCGAGATCCTGCTGAGTCTGCGCCGCCGCCTGGTGAAGGTCAGCAACGGCGTCGGCCTGCTGCCGGTTTGGCAGCGTGAGAGCCGGCACCCGCCGGGCCTGCCGGGCCGTGTCTTCTGCGGCATCGGGCGCCTGCCGCGGCCGGACGAAGTGGGCGGCAAGCGCAAGGCCGACGAGGAGAAGCGGGAGGAATTGCAAGCCGCGCGGGCGGCACTCATCGCCCAGCTGCCGAAGGCCATCCAGAGGGAACTGCTTGTGCTGGAGCTGCCGGAGGCCTTGGTGGGCCGCAGCGCCTTCTCCTACCCGCGGCTCGTGAAGTACTTCTGCAGGCACGCCCTCAACGTGGTGGAGGTGGACTTGGTGAACAGCTTCTACCAGTTGCTCTCCAAAGAGATCGAGCTTCCGGAGGTCTTGAAGAACTACGTGACCTACCGAGAGGCGACCCTCCAGGTGCTCCTGTCGGGCCTCAACTCTCACAGGGCCGACTACGAGAACAAAGCCGCGAAGGAAGCACGCCGTCGGGCGGCCAAAGCCGACGAGCGGAGGCCCTGGGCCGAGGAGGACGAGCCCGAGATCTTGCAGCCCAGCAAGCCCCTGACCCGGCAGGATGCAAAGGGCCTGCTCATCGCCCTGGCTGGGCTTCGGCATGTCGGCGAGCAATTGGTGCTCCAAGCACCTCGGCTTCGTTCCCCGGAGCGCGGAGCCCGACCCCCTGCTGGACCTTCTCAACGAAATCGAGAAGGCCGTGAACTCCGTGCTGATGAAGTGCCGGGAGGGCCTCAGTCCGGAAGCGCGGGCGTGGCACAGGGCCCGCAATCGCGGCTTGGCGTCCATGGGGTACTCCAAGTACGCCGCCCTGGAGCGCCGCGCCCTGGAGGCCTTCAGGCGGGCTGCAGGAGACGACCTGGTGGCTTTGGAGCACGACGGGGTCGCCGTGGCGCGGGAGAGTGCCGCGCCGCCGCGGCCGCGGACTTGGGCTTGGAAGTGGCCATCAAGGAGACGCCGGACCCCTTGCAGTACGCGGCCGAGGAGCACCCGGAGTTCAACTGGAGCCTGCAAGCGAAGCGGTCCTACCGGGAGTTTGCGCAAGTGAGGGACGCCTGCCTCGCCCACATCTCCATGCGGCGGGTGCGGCCCAACGGCTCCGACTTCGCGGACTTCGTGGCCTCCCTCTTGGCTCCCGTGGTGAATGTGCCCCACGAGGACGGCGAGAAGCGCACCACCTTCGAGTTCTTCGACGGCAAGGGTTTTTGGGTTCCGAAGCACAAGGACGACATGGGGGCCCTCATCCGCATCAGCTTGAAGAACCTGTCGCGGCCCGCCTACGGAGGTCCCTTCACGCCGCCGGAGCCGCTCAACGACAGCTGCTGGACCAAGAGCCTGGTGGACGAAGTCTTGGGCTTGCTTAGCGGGCACACCATGGCTGCGCTCGACTCCGACAGGACTCGAGGAAAGGTCCTGTACTCGGACGGCGTGGTGGTGGACTTCGCCACGGGGGAGCGGAGGCAGGCGCAGCCGGGCGACCGCATGTCGCTGCACGCCGAGGCCAGCTCGGTAGCCTGGGTGCCGCCTGTGGACACGCACCTCTTCAGCAAAGTGGAGACCTTCCTCCGGACGCGCAAGCAAACCTTGGAGGAGAACGAGGAAGGGCTTGCCGTGGTGGACGCCTTCGAGGAGCTGAAGCCCCACTCCGCCCTGCTCAGGCTCCTTCGGAAGTATGGCTCGTGGTTGCAGGTGCTCTACATCCTCCGCCTCTTCGCCCGGGCCATCGTGGCTTTGGAGCGCCTGTGCGAGCTCTTCTACCTCCACGGGCCGGGATCTTCAGGCAAGGACGTGCTCATGCTGATCTTGCTCCGCTTCCTGGGCTACGAGCCGCAGCACTACGGGCTCCTGGTCAGTGGCCGCTACTTCGTGGCGGGGGCCAAGAGCGGCAAAGAATCGGCCTCCCCCCAGTTAGACCAAATGCGGGGGAAACGGTTTATCTGGGGGTCAGAGGTGCCTGAGCATGAGGATTTAGACACAGACTTTTTAAAAGCTCTGTGCGAACAAGGTGGGGCACCGCTGACGGGGAGAGGCCTCTACAGGAATCCCCGGAGCTTTCGGCCCATGGGCGTGTTCTGTGCCACCAGCAACTTCCCGCCGAAGGTCAAGCAGATAGACGACGACGGCTGGGCCCGCCGAGCTCGGGAGTGGCAGACGGAGGCTCGCTTCGTGGCCAGGCCCAGCAAGATCACGGAGCACAAGGCCGACGACTCGCTCAAGAAGAAGATCAACGACGGCTACTTCCACGCGGAGATGAACTTCTTCGCCCTCGGCCTCTTTAACTCCTTGTCCGAGGAGTTGAATCCCGGCACGGAGCTCTTGCCCAAGCCTCCGCAGATGGTCCTTTTGGAGGAGCAGAACCGCGAGAACGTGAAGACCGTGGACAAGTTCCTCGCGGAGTACTGTGAGAGGGTGTCCCAGCTGAACCACGGCTCCCCGTGGAGCGCATTCGTGGAGGCGCTCAAGGGCTACTTGGACTGCGACCGGAAAGTGGCGCGGACCAGATTGACCAGCGCCGGGATCAAGATGCACAACGCCGGCGTGAAGAACGTGCCCACGGACAACCAGGGCACTTGGAAGCTGAAGCCGGCGGATGCATGAGTTTTGTTCCAAGGCTTTCCAAAGCGTTTTGCACAGCACGCTTACAGACCCGGGGGAGGCTCTCCCGCGTACAGCACTT